TTTTTGGGGGTGTAAAGATTATAGCCAAGAAGAATGTAGGAGTCTCTTGAGTTTTCGATTGAGCATCTTTTAGGAAACCCACAGTTTGAGAGTCTTCTGAATTTGAACGGAGTTAATAAGATAATACAATCATATCATCCTCTCTTGTGAGAACTGCAGTTCCCATGTAACAATATTTCAGGAAACTTCCGATGTCTCAATCTTTCAGATTTTCTATTTAGCTATTTCAGGAGAGATTTACCCTTGGTGTAACCGCTATTTTGACTATGGCCGTTCTCTCGCTTGTTGTTAGCGAGAAAGTTCCACATTCGTCAACTCACGTACCTCTTCTTGGTGAGTATGTAGCCACTAGTAAATTGACGCGAAAGGGTATCAGCGCACTTTTGCGCTATATGTCAAAGTTTGTAAAAATGCTGTTAGATGTCCATTTTTTCGGTGATATTCGTATTTCGCGAAATCCTGGAGAACTAAACTGATTTATGGAGCACGCACTAATTTAATAGAAACTTAGTAAAAGCAATGATGCACTTAGTGCAAAGATAGCTCTATGTGTCATGATTTGATCCATTAGAAATCGCCCCAATCATATACAAGATAAAATATTGTGGTTTCAGTGGCGTATTTCCTCTTCAATATGGTTTCGGTATCAGTAGCGGCAATGACTACCGGAATTGTAATGAAAGTTCACCGAATGGGTCGGCACGGTCGCGAGCCGGAAGAATGGCTGCTGCGCCTGTTCTGTCTGCGCCCAATGAGGGTCCGGGTAAGAGTTTCATCTTGACCTTCTCCCCCGAAAACGATTTTGATGATTCAGAGTGGGATCTACACTGTAAGTGCTGGCGAATCGCCATTCCATTCATCTTCCTACCTGAAAGGGCTAAACGGCGAGCTGCGCAAGTACGAGTCTCAGCCCACGTCTGATAAAATCCCAGTTCTTGAGTCATACGTTAAGAAGCTTGCTCACACGTGCAAAAATATTCAGGTGAGCTTTCCCAAACAAACATTTTTCTATTATCCTCTGGGTTACTGGGAAAAGAGATGTCCAAATAATCGGACTAAATTAAACATACAGCAGATTTTACTATGCTTAGTCGAATCTTGGCGGCGTTTCGCCAACTGCTACCCATAAATTG